CACCTCCATTTTATAGCCAATCAACTGCTGTTATTTTAAAACACTTTCATGACAACCAGAAAAATTTCTGGAAATTTTTCTTTTGGTGGGTACCCTGAACGAAATTATACTGAAAATTTGTTTGACAGTTGAGCAGCTCTTTCATGCATATACAAAATTTGCCATTTCAGTGGTTAATATTTTATTTAATACCAATTATAACTAGGTAGAAATACACTACATTTATTTTATGTAAAATAATAATTAGGTTTTTCGCGTCAACTAAACGACTTCAAATATGACAAATGGTCATGGTATGGTCACAGCATATTCTGTGGTATGGCTACCTTAAAAAATTTGATTTTAGTCGTTTTAATGCATGTCTGTCAAGTTTTAAAATTTGGATATTTTGGTGTAAAACTTTCTTACCCAATACCAAACGTGCCTAAATTATTATCAGTAAATTTTTGCACACTCACGCATATTTTAAGAACATTATCCATCTACTTAGGATAAATTTCAAAATATTCGTAAGTGAAAATACACGTCTGGCTGACAATTACAATTACAGAGGCCTGCCAGACTCACAAGTAGTGTCCGACTGAAGGTTCGGTTACGGTTTCGGCCAACTTTGGCTTTAAATAATAGTTTCGACTACAGTTTCGGTTTCGGCGGAAAACTGGCCGAAACTGCAGCCGACAGCGAAACTACTTTTAAAAGTTTTCGTATCACAATTGGTTGTGTCCGGCGCAATGGCGACTGTGCCGGGTGCCATTCCTACACAGTGCACGACCACGTACACACAAACTTCTCTGCTTTGTTTCAAGTGAACATGTCAATAAATTTATTAATGGCTTCTTTTGATCACATAAATAAACAGGTAATAAGTAAATGTAGCTAAAATTTATAATACGAGTTAATTAGTCTAAAACAAGGATTACAATGAGATATTGCAAATTTCAATAAGAGATTGCCTTAAAAGAAAGTTCTTGTTTCTGTTTCGGCCGAAACTAAGAAAGGAGCCGAAATTTGGTTTCTGTTTCGGTTATAAAACCGTATTTCAGTCGGACCTGACGGTCATTAGACGAGTCTGGCAAGGCTTTCGGGGTGTTCCACATTAGCCAGATTGTATTTTAAGCTGTTATCATAATATACATTTTTCTAGTAGTGAGAACACTTGTAACAGGGATCCTTACTGGACATTGCCAACTAAAATTACACCTTAGTAAACTGAGAGTAGTAGAAGATAGTGCAGATTTTGTGAGGAGGAGGAAAAAATCTTCATTCACATTCTAACTAAATGTGTAGCACTTGAGAATCCAAGGGCACTATACCTAGGAGCATATCAAATAGAAGAGGGAGATTTACCTAACTTGAAGCCACTCCAAATCCTACACTTCCTTGAGAAGGTATAATTGGAAGGATCTTTATTCGCGATTCAAGCTAAGTGATACGCCCTTTGGAGGAAATTTGTAGAAGGTCCCTATAAGTAGGATATCGTTCAGTGTTGCCAGAAGTAGCAAAATTTCTCTACGTCGTCGGATTTTAGCTCTTGAAGAAGTGGATAAGACCTTTTATTTAAGAATCAAAATTTGTGTATAGTAATATGTAATCATACTCTATATTTATTTAAGGACTTTTTTATAAAACCGATTTATTATATTAATTTTTTTTTTAATTTCAGTTCATTTATTAATTTTGTTTTAAAATCAGTTCATCATTTGGCAACGAGTTCATTGTTTACATTTTAATTTGTATCAATTACAATTCGAATTTTTTTTACTTTTTAGCTTTCAATTTGTTTATTTCTTATAGTATGTGATAGTGTTTATGTTAAAAATGAAATCTGCGAAAAAGTCCCCAGCAAATTGCAATCTATATGGTGTTAATGTCAAAATCGAAACTGAAGTATTCATTATTTTCCAAGTGCAAGTCGTAAAATTTAGTTTTTTACCATAAATGGATATCTACAAATTCACAATATTGAAATTTTGCAAAACTTTGTTTAGAATCGATATATGATATTTTATCCATTTTCATAGATTCGCCAGAATTTTTTTACTTAACTTCAGTAGGTATACCTCTAGAACTATTATATATTATATGACTAGGGCTTTAGCCCCCCCAGATCTGATGACATAACTTCGCCCATGCACGTTGGGCTACAATTTGCAATATTACCCTGACACTTTACCTGCCATTTTGTAATATTATTCGTCACCCTTCTGATAAATGTTAATTTCAAAACACTTATATAGATTTTACTAGCTCAGTGAAATTTAAAAAATTAAAAAAATAAATGAGCACATACTTTTCTGTCGTGAATTCGGCTTTTCAAATAGACAATTTTAAGGGTAGTAATCTTTCTAGGAAATGTTGAGCACCAATAATTCTCTTTTTTATTTTTAAAAGCTAGTGAGAATTATAAATTCTAGCTTTATCAATAAAAAGAAGTTAATAAAAATTATACAGAATTTAGTGAATGAAAGAGAATTTTTTTTGTGACCTTAAAAAAATAAGATTCAACATATATACTTATAAAAATTAATGATTTTATTTAAAAAACAAGAAACCTTTTCGAAAACAAATTATTCACAGTTATCAGGTATCAAATTTTGATTCGTACATAAATAATTCTAGTCACTAGTAATTACCGCATTTTTGCTTTGTTAGCTAACCACTTCTAGATAGCCATAGGTAGTTGAGATTTCTGCCCGTCGGAAACCAACGCCTTTGTCGGTTACTCTTTCTTCTTATGAAGCTTCGAATTGTAGCTGTCGCTTTTCCAATTAACTCACGTTTCACAAGAGATTTCTGCTCCTCGGGAACCAACGTTCAGATTACAGCGGTTGATTTATGGCAGTTGAGTTATGGCTCTATGGCTTTATGACTTTATGGCTTTGTGGCTTTGTGGCTTTGTGGCTTTGTGGCTGATTGCATTCGTTTGCTAGACAAAAATAGATTTTGTTTTTCACGTGGTTCTATACGATATATAAATTTGAAACATCTACTTTTTTAAAAAAATGAACCAATCAGATAATAAAAACTAGTGACTATACATATTGTGCCGTTCTAGCAACCAGAATGAATCATAAAAACACATTTAACTTTACTGTCAAAAAACTAATAATTAACAAAAGGTTTGAATAATATTTCTACTGAGATATTTAATAATTTAAAGACATTATATACTTTTTATGCTTACCACTTTAACAGCCAATGCACCACCGATATGATCAAAAGGTAATAATAAAATGAAATTTACAAATCTAATTTGAGATCGTTTGGTTAGTGGTACTTCCACTTCAAGAAATTTCCCTTTCTTTAGAATATTGTGTGTTGGCGATAATTAAATTATACCGGATCGCACATATTTAAAATAACATTTTATAATTAGACTTTTAAAATGTTACAAAGGGGGACCATAAGATAAATTGTATCGTATCATTAATACCATCAACACATTAACAGCTTTAATAACCATTTGTAGGGGATTATAAACCACAGGGTAAATTGTGCATAAGCTAAAAAGAGATATTATATCAAATCACTGTTATATATACTTTTATTAATCCCTTCTCTCTCTGAATCATTAAATTTTAAGAGCCAGCTAGGGAAAAAAGAATTACTGCCACCACTTACATCCTTAAATAGGCCAGTAACGAGGCAACTTAGTTTTGTATATCTCCTTCTTAAGGTATTTCAAGTATTTAGAGGTCCTCATTTTATAATTTCATAAACCAAGTCCTTCTGTCTAGCTTCTAACAAAGTTATCAGATATTTCCGGACATTTTTATAATTTTATAAACCAGCTCCAGGTCGTTCTGTCGAAAACTACAAAAATATGATCCAAATATTCCCGGACATTTTGATAAAATTTACAACAGGCATTGCAATCTAAAACGAAGAAAATGGTTCAGAAAATAGTTTTCTATTTTATAAAGGATCCTTACCACTTCTACTCAAATGTTTTTAATAATAAATATAAAAGAAATTCTGCAAATTAAAAAAAACAAACATAACATATGACAAGAAACATTGGCAAGTGACAAATGATATAAACAGTTCTTGTTCTTTTTAGAAAATTACTTTATTGCGTTGTGTTAACATAACAGGTAGGTTAACTAGGTAAATAACAAATAGAAGTTTTGCGAGGTTTTGATTTCCCTCAACAACTTCTCATGAACGTTGCATTTACGTTGTATAGTAGTGTTATTACGTTCCCTTAATGCAACATCACCGAAAGTCTTGGCAATGTTATGTGCTAGCTGGGAAGGGCCTGGGTCGATGGCTATTTGGTTGTAATATTCATAACCAATAAAGTGCTTTTATTATTATTTAAAGATTTTTTAACATAAGTAATATTAGCATAATCCTATTACTTAAAAATTCGAATCGCATAAATTTTATTTTTGTTGTCAGTGAAAAAAATATTTGAAATATGAATCAAACTCGAGCCGCTTAAAAATTTAGTATTATATGTGCTGTATAATTAACAGTAATTCTTACTGCGCATTCAAAAACGACATTATATCTAAACCATGTTATAGATATATCTTAGGTAGATACTGCCATTTTACTGTTATCGCCTTGAATTTACCTTTAATGACAAATGTAGAATGTTTTCACCAGATACATTTAAAAAACTAAAATGTTACTGATTTTGATATGAAACATAACCTTAAAGTTGAAAATTTATAAAACAGTTATAAAAGTATAAAAAAACATTTTTTTTAAAGTCTGTGTAAATGTGAAGTAACTGCATTCAACAAATCTTATACAATTTTCAAATGAACCAAATAGTTCTGTAAAACTGCGCCCATTTTGTGTTTATTACTGTTGAAAGAATGTTCCAAAAATGTTCTTAGCTAATATTCTGTTTTATAAATTTTGTTCTGTAAACATTTTTTCGGCTTTTATAAAATATCAAATTGTTACTTGGGATGTTCTTTTTATTATAATCCGATTCTACTTACATATCCAAACTTACCGTAACTTATCTTATTAAATATCTTTTTTAGAGGTGGAAGATGATATGGCAAGCTGAGCACTCATCTGAAAATAGTACTCTTACCTACTGTGGGGGTACCGAAGTGTGACCTGAAAATCTTTCCAATTCCTATACCATCGAATGGTTAGTGTAAATCTAGGATTACTACTTGTAGATAGTTTATTTATTGTAGGAATTATTCATTTTTAATAAAATAAGGCAAGATACCAGCCATATCTTGTCGAATTTTAGGGTTTCAAAGGAATCACGCATATTTAAAATAGAACCATTATCAAAATTTTAATATAAGATGGATTGATTAATTAATAAATATTTAGGTAAAGTGAATACAAGGAAAAATACTGTCAAATTAGAGAACAATATAACAGTATTTACATTTGTTGCTTTTACTTTTGTCTACCAGATGGACCGGTTCTTCAAAAAATGCTTTACCTCAGACAGCAATCATAGATTGTTCTCTTCATTATAAATACAGATGTCAAATTTTTCCGCAGCAGAACTATATTTCCAGCAGAATAGGGAAAGCTTAATAGTTTGAATTATCTATAGGTGTATTTTATATTTTTTAAACTGGAAATAATATTAATAAATATCAAACTTCGTTTATATATATTTAAATGGTATCGGCAAAGGCTAATAATTTTAATTAATTAATTTAAGAAGAAGAAGAAACATTTTATAATACAAAATTAAATAATTTTACAATAAGAAATTATTCTTAAAATATGCACATCTGTATGTGCAATAGAAATAGATTAAAACTACATAAAATTAACAATACCTACAAACTAAACATTTGAAGATTAAAAAGACATAAATATATAAGACTAGGTATTTATAACAAATTTGAGAGGTATAAATATTGGCTATATCCCTGTACAGACCGTCCCATTACCGACCGCGACTAAAAACTACCTGCTCGAGTCCCACTACCGCCCGCGCAGGGTTTACTTATTTTTTGTATATCCCACTACCGACCACGAGATTCTATCACATAATAAATATGTTGTAGTTCTGAAAAGAACTGATTTTGTTTTAGTAATTTACATTTTAATGATTATTGATAAGGAATATTTTTATTTCGCTTTCAGTTAGAAACTATGTTAAACGCTCCCCGTAATATTATACATTGAATTCTTATTTTATTTAATTTATAATTAAACAATAAGAAAATCAATTGACCCGGTTATTTTCGTAAATAAAATTAAAAATAAATTAATAAATAAATTAACAATCATAAATAATATGTGTTATGAATTGACTAATGACATCAAAACATTCATAAGTATCTGGTTCAGATGTTGAGTGCGGATTACCATATCTAGTACGTACCTGCTGACCGGAAATCACTCATCCTCATTTGCAATAAAAAATAACTTTGAATACTTACTAATCATAGGCGTCACAGATATATCTAGAAATCAATCATCTTAATAAATATGTTGTAGTTCTGAAAAGAACTGATTTTGTTTTAGTAATTTTATGTTCTCCTTATGTGACTCAAATGGTAATTATATTTGACAGCATATGAAGTGCTGCCCCTATATTGTTATTAATAGACAATTCTGCAACAATCCTATTTATGCGCCTATCAACTTGCACGTATTTTGGAGGTCGTTTCTTCGAAGATATGTTGTTTTCGATCCTTTGTTGAACAATATCGTAGTAATCTGAATCATTTCTCAACGAATTTATTAGTTCAATTATATTTGAATTTGATTTTCCAATTAATCTATTTAAATGACTGTGCCAGGATTCACAAACGTTGGTCGTCCTGTGTCGCTCGCCGTGACAAATCTACATATCCTTAATTGTTGCGTTTTCTAACCATTGGGACACAAAATAATGATTATAATCATTGATTTCTTCAATAATGGGCGTAGATTCCATTATATACAACCATCCAGCATCAATGAATTCTGGAAGTAAATGGGCTAGAGCCGCCGTAAATTTTACATGCCTTCTGATATCGGGATCGACTTTGTATTTATTAGCAAGCCCTAAATTTTGGACTTTCCTGAATAGACTTTGGTTAAAATGAAAATTCCATCCTTTGAGCTTACAGTCTGGAAAAACTTCCCTAAAAACACTTATTGTTGAAGTTTCGAAATCTATTTTCAACTGGTTGGGTGTAAAATTTGGAATACGGTTTTTTACCAGTTGAAGTAACCTCATATAAGTTTGTTTCTTCCTGTCTGGCAACAAAGTATACAATACTGCTCGAGTACATGTGACTTTCTTCGGTGCTTCTTAAATCCACATGAAAAGTATACAATTGATTAAATAAAGAATTGCAACTTTTAAATGTACCATCTCCAAAAATAGTGCTGCTTGATGCTAACGTATTAATGCCCATTTTACTTGCAAATCCAATAATTCTGTCAGTAGCACCATCATTAAATACTAGGAATTTTTCATTTATGTGACTAGGAACCACAAGATCTTCACGCGTTTTTGGTAGTTGTCGTATTCCCAAAGATATATTTCGTTGTCGGTATAAGGATGATTTTATACTTTCATACTGTAGCATTTTTGTCACGATCTCTAAGCCTTTGTCTTTTGCTTCCTTAAACGCTTCTTGATATATTTTTGGTATTGGTTTCATTTCTTCCGCAGCACGTTTTCTGCATATTGCAATGCGTTTTTCAGTATCTGTGTATGCCTCATTAGGAGCTTTTAGACAGTTGTGTGTAAATGTCTTTATTATTTCATTTTCTTGATTTGTTGTGATTCGTCCACTGCAATCTCCGTTTACACATTTCCAGTTCTTACTCTGGTTTTTGTTGGTCCTTTTTAAAAAATACTTAAATCCTCCACTAATAACTTGCACATTACCTTTGGCATTTTTCAAAAATTCTACCTTATCCATGATTACTATTCAAGGATGCAGTTGAAACTAAATGCTTCATTTACTTTTACGTCCGTAAGTACTAATTATACTCATCGTTAAGTAATATTATTGGCTAAAAGACCAATTGTGGGTGGAGCTTTCAATTGAAGTACCTAGTATTAAGATGATTGATTTCTAGATGTATCTGTGACGCCTAATTAGTAAGTATTCAAAGTTATTTTTGATTGCAAATGGGTACGTACTAGATATGGTAATCCGCTCTTTACATCTGAACCAGATACTTATGAATGTTTTGAGGTCATTAGTCAATTCATAACACATATTATTTATGATTGTTAATTTATTTATTAATTTATTTTTAATTTTATTTACGAAAATAACCGGGTCAATTGATTTTCTTATTGTTCAATTATAAATTAAATAAAATAAGAATTCAATGTATAATATTACGGGGAGCGTTTAACATAGTTTCTAACTGAAAGCGAAATAAAAATATTCCTTATCAATAATCATTAAAATGTAAATTACTAAAACAAAATCAGTTCTTTTCAGAACTACAACATATTTATTATGTGATAGAATCTCGTGGTCGGTAGTGGGATATACAAAAAATAAGTAAACCCTGCGCGGGCGGTAGTGGCACTCGCGCAGGTAGTTTTTAGTCGCGATCGGTAATGGGACGGTCTGTTATGGCACTACACCATACATATTTATCAAATATAAATTTTTTGATCGCTTTAGAAAAGGTTTTTATGTTTTTTATTTATCTGATATTTTCACTTAAAGAGTTGTACACTTTTGGCCCAATTGAAGAAATGAATCTTTTATTTCCATCATATTTAGAGAATGGTACATTTAGCATTCTTCTCTTTTGTTTTCGGGTGATATAAGAGTGGTTTACAAAATTTTTATTTTTCAGTTTGAAATAGAACATACAGTTACAGTGAAAGTATAGTGATCTTAGGTTTGGAGTGGATTCGTTGTATAAGAGGGTTGTTGAAAACAAACGACTTTTATGATTTATTATCTTTAAAATATAATTTTGAATGATACTTAAAGGATGTAGGGCATTATCATATAAATCACCACATACAATTATGCCATATCTAATTAAGGATTCAATGAGAACAATATATATCAAGTGTAATAACTTTTTATTTAGAATGTTACGAATTAAATAAAAATTATATATAAGTTTTCTTATTTTGTTTGTTAAGTACTGAACATGATCAGTCCATTTAAGATTTTTGTCAACTATTATTCCCCAATATTTGGCATTTTCACTCCTTTGATGATGAATTTGGATTCTTCAATACAAATTGTTTGAAGTTAGGCCTGTTAGCATCTGTGAGTGAGAATGCCATATCTACTGTTTTTGATATATTTAAAGATAGTTTATTATAATCCAACCAGTCTTTCATAATTCTTACACCTTTAACCACTTTTGATTTTATAGCCTCTCAGGTTTTACCTTCAAACATTAATACAGTGTCATCTGCATAAGATATTGCTATACCATTTATATCTAAGTTTAAAAGAGAGTTGATGTAGATGATAAAAAGAATTGGACTAATGACAGTTCCTTGTGGCACACCTATTTGAATTTTAACAGGATTACTAAATGCATTTCTAAGTTTAACTATCTGTCTTCTCTCGTGTAGGTAGCTTTCAAACAATTTTAAAACCAATCCTCGAATGCCATAATGTTCAAGAACATTTAGTAGTTGCTTTTGAGGAACAGTGCCAAAAGCTTTCGCGAGGTCGATAAAAAAACACAGTCTTATTGGTCTGTAATTTGATACATCTTTTTTGGATCCGTTTTTAAAAACTGAATTTACAATTGATATTTTAAGTTCTTCCGGTATCTTACCTGTTGTAAAGATTAGGTTTATAATGTGCATTAGAGGCTCTATTATGTATCGGTGTTCATTTTTCAACATTCTAGATGTAATTCAGTCAATCCCAGGAGCACTGTTATTTTTTCACGAATTTACATCTATTAATTCATTTTTATGCCATTGAATTGATTAGAGGTGGATATCTTATTAGGAAGTTATCTACAGAATTAATTTTAGTTGCCATATCTATACCAATTTTTGAAAAATAGTTATTGCAGTAGTTGGCCATTTCTTTGTCATTTGTGGATCACAATTTTGACGATGTCTGATTTTCTGAACAATGGCAGAGTGAAACATGTCTTAAATACATTAATATTGACGGTTACAATTCGGCAAACTCTTTTTGTAGAACAAATATGATACATGGGGGTGTAGCAATTTACATAAAAAATAATAAAGATTTTTTGAAATATTTTCCAATTGACTTAAGCGAATATATTAGTGAAAAAAATGCAGAATTCTCTGCTGTAGATCTGCCATCTTTAAAAACTACAATTTTAACTGTCTATAGGTCTGGCAAAGGAACTACTGATATTTTTCTTCTGAATTTTGAACTTGTATTACACAAATTAGTAGAAAAGTATGACAAATTAATAATATTAGGCGATTTTAAATTAATTTTAAATCACAATCTGAAATTCTTTTCAATTTTGAATG